ACATTTAGTGATAATGGAGGAGGCAAGAATGGGCCACATATTGGAAATAAAGTTCGTTTTGAGCCGCGAGAAGTGAAAAATGAACAGTTGTCCTGAGAACATGCTTGGCAGAAGCACCAGGTATACAGAGGGGTCGAAAACCGAATATGGAACAGGGGCTGGAATTCACTATACGGAGAGAAATCTTCATTTCAGTTAACCACTCAGTACACATCAGTTTTCCAGAATGAAGTGTATCTGATTTTGCAATGCGCTAGGAACTTCAATTTGAGGTCTCAATGGGATGAGCAGATCGATATTTTTTCAGCCAGGCAACACTTAGAGCACTATCGAAGCGAAAAGTGACATCAAGACTGGTTTGGGAATACCGTGAAGAACGGGGGAAAGTGACGTATAGGAATTAATGGACTATATACTGGGTGTCAGGACACTCAGTTATCGCAGGCAACGGGAGAGGTGAGAAGTATACTAGACATGGATCATCAACTCCATGTATACGTACTGAAGCAGCTGTGGGGGTACCAATTCGTCTGATACGGAACCAGATCAGAAAAAGAGTCAATGAGGAACATAGAGAGTACTGGGAAAACCTACCAGGAAACATATGCGGAGAAACCTTCATGACGGACCGGCCGAGAAGGGGACTGAAGAACTGCGTCAACAAAGCAGACATCGGCTCAAAACAATCACAGAGCTGGACACTGCCCATTGGGAGAACACCTGAACGGAATAGGGCTGAACAACGGAGTCTTTAACTGCAATGCAATATGCCCCATATGCGAATGTGAGGCATTGGATCACAGGAGACAAATAATTTATGGACAACCCAAATCATGCCCAGCTAGATGATACAAATTCAGCAAGTGACTCGTACAAACTAGTAGAGGGAACAATATTTTTCGAATGAGTTTCATGAATCAGATTAGGAGAGAACGCAATAAGCCCAGGAGGTTACAGTGTTATCCGGAGAAACCAACAAGTCAGACATGTGCCAAGTAGTGGAATATTTTTTTTCTGTTGAGTCAAAAAGTTGATGAAAGCTGACTTTTCTCATGATACCTCATTGAGATTGTTGAAAGGTGCTGAAAGTTTCCTCTCGAGATGAAAATCGAGGGCTCCAAGCGAATTTTATCCTAAATGCCTTCAATGCGAAATTGACCTTGTTTTATTTTCACTGGTCCACCCTGTATACATATTTCACAAAGCAATTCTCATTACAAATGCAATTGTTTGGAACTATTTTGATCTACTTGCAAAAGTCTCACGAAAACCATCATAGGACAGATATACACTGTGTCCGTAAAGTATGGAACAAATTCATTTTTAGCTAAACAGGTCATTTTAAGAAATAATCCTGAAACACGTCGATTTTTTATGTTAATTTACCGTATTTTAAAATAATAATCTAATATACAGGGTGAATTACGTTCGAGTAACGACGTCACCGTCATTTTTTTAAATGGAACACCCCCATTTTGTCTCAATTTTCGGATTACTCTAGCTGAGCTGNTTCTGTCCGCTAGACAATAAGTATTTTTGATAATATTGTTAATTTACCTAATGAAGGATGTTACGCGTTACTTTATTAGCACACACACAACTACTGTATTTTTGTCCACCCTGTACCAATTGGAATCAACATGTGATACATTTTTGGAATCAGCTCAACTAGAGTAATCCGAAAATTGAGACAAAATGGGGGTGTCCCATTAAAAAAAAATGACGGTGACGTCATTACTCGAACGTAATTCACCCTGTATATTAGATTATTATTTCAAAATACGGTAAATTAATATCAAAAATCGACGTGTTTCAGGATTATTTCTTAAAATGGCCTGTTTAGCTAAAAATGAATTTGTTTCATAATTTACGGACACAGTGTATTTCAAATACAATGTACGGGTTGAATTGATAACCTCATTTTTTTCGGTAAGAACCGAAACCAAACCGCTGAAATTCATCTTGGCCTCGAACACCTCGTCCGGAGCCTCATTCGCAAGCACCGCATAACAGTACAGCAATGAACAGCAACGGGTCGAATAGTAATGTAGAAGGTCCCCGCGCATAAATCTCCTGCTGTCCGGAACAGTGCCGAGAGAAGTTTTCCTTCCTTTGAGAGCCTAGCAATAAGAAGGAAATTATGAATCTTGTAGGGGAGTATCTCGAGCAGAAGGGTGTATAAACTGACCGACCCCGTGTTTCACTTTGTCCCAGGTTCGGTGGTTTCGAGGATATTACATTATAAGTCAACACGAGTAGGTACTGGAAACTTTATAGCCTCGGGATGCGGATGTAATCTTACTGAAATAGCGTATGTGAAAGTTAACTCGAGGTTTTATTGCTCATAATGGTCATACGGCGAGATTTGGAAAGGGTTCGAATTAGATGATTTCAATGGAAGGACAGATTCGGATCGGGTTGCTGTGGCCGTAGTTATGGTTTCACGTTCTGAATGAAAAACTTACCGGGAATAACAAACCAGAGACAATAAAAGTCAAATTCCATCATCAACTGTTCTGAAGTCGTTATTGGTTTGAATTCAGATCGGTCTCATATCGCCTCGACCAAAAGTTAAAAAATACAGCGCTGGTTGATTTCTCCGAAAAAATTCTTTTGAAATTTCAAATAGAGATTAGATATATGTATTTGTGTATGGCATTATTTCAAAAAGTGATAATATCCGGAAGGAAGTGATCTCTTGATCTTTGCTTACAAAAACGGAATTGATGACCGCAGAAGATGCTGAAATGTTCAAAATGTGTAAAAATATATAGAAAACAAACATACTTATATTATATTTTCCTATATCTAATGGAACTGCTTGCATCTCCAATAACCTTCAGGTAGATTTCGTCAGCAATCCAAATCAGAGACAATTTTCAGATTGCTCCTACTGATTAGTCTAGTTCATATGTACTTTTTTTTGTAACATTTCTCAGCCCTGTTCAAAAATTACGACCAAGGTGTCATTCGATTTGTATTTTTGCCTAGAAAGTTTAAAAGAAGGTCCGAAAATGCGCCAATGAAAATTACAAAAGTTATAAACAATTAAGTGAAAAAAAATGGGGCTTTAGTTTTTTCTTCATATCTCGGAAAATTTTCAAAATTTTGGAAATTTGAAAAAACATTTGAAAAGATCAATGGATTTGCGTAAAAAAAGTCCCGACTCCCGAAACTGTATCTCGATTATTTATAATTTTTACAGAGCCTTAAGGGACCGTTTTATTTCAAATCATAAATTCTATTGTTCTTTAAGGCACTATCATGTTTGAAAATTATCTGTTTTCCTAAAAGTAATTCTATTGTAGTATAACTGTTTTCCAAAATCTACCTACCTTATCCGGAATAATCAGTTATTTCTAAACAAGTTTTGTAGCTACCTACTGTTATTCAAAAGACATTTCAGACTAGTTTGATGTAGCAGTTCAACTGATGATAATACGATGTAGTGAAACGCGTATTGAATAAAATTTGTAGTGTATTGGATGGGATACTGTTTTGAATTTGTTGCATTGTTTGTCTCAATTTTGATAAATAAAGTATAATGAATTATATGAATATTATGTAAACATGAATTGATCAATATTTCTCTCTGGAGATTCAAATTGAATTTGAGAAACGTTTGCATATCAGAAAAATTATTTTTATTAGAAATCGATCCCTATTCCAAAATGAAAATTAAACTGCTGTTCTATTTATACCATTGAATTTCACCAGTTCGTTGTACTTTCATTGTCTGATATGATTTGAAATCTAATATCAATTATATTAAGGAAAAAAACTGTGAGAAGAAAATATAATAAAACGATTAAAATAATGAAGATGGAAAATAAAAATGATAACAGAGTAAGAAGAAATGAGGAAAGGAATGAAAATGATAATTAAAGAAAAAAAATTGAAAAAGGTATCAAACCAAGTAACTTAGTATTCGCAATTGCCTTCGAGTGATGACTGGACTCCACAAAATGACTATTTATAGGTCATTTGAGTGCTTTTACCTATCCCCTCTTCCCTCTCACAGCTTTACCGGTTTAGCGGGAGTTGAGCGTTTACCGAAAGTTGACAGTTTTCTTGCTCGATTACAGGTTTCAATATGTTGCGTATCCCTACACTATCTTGGCTAAATGCGTCGTTGGACAACATATACGCAGCTTCTTTGAACTTCTCCTCGAAACAGTGTTACACCTGTGGATGGGTTATGTTGATGAGTCTAATCAGACGCTGCTATTTCCGTATTCCTGGTTTCTCCTCGCTGTGTGATTCTTTTGTGCTTGGTAATGCAGACTGTCAATGGCCTCTCAGTTTCACCGATATAGGATTCACCGCACTCACAGTGTATACGGTAAATGCAATTCTTGGAATCCTAGTCCGCGTTTGGTGCCTGGTTTTCATGAGGCTGCAACGGATGGTGTTTCCAGATCTGAAGCAGGTTCTGATGTTGTACTTGGATCCAATTCTTTTCATCCTTTTCGACAATCTTTTGACGTCCGGAAGGACAATTACTGGTTGTGACGGCTTCTCTTCTCTGCAAGGCTCTTGCTGTCTTCCAGCCAAAGTATGTTCCACCATCACTTCATCATCACTAGTTCCTTCTCGAGACCTTCCTCCGTATTAGAAAGTATTGATGATTTTTCTCTTGGTAGATTGATGGTGGTTGGATTTGTGATTCAGATAATGTTCAATGTGAGTGGGTGTTTGGTTTACATATGTTTCTTACTAGGTGTTGATCCTCTTCGCCAATACGTCGAAGAATGGAAATTTGTTGTGGATTTCCTCTTCCATTGTGGAGGTGATGGAAGGTTCTTGTCTGCTGATGTGCTGAATTTTTTATTTTGATAATTTCATTCGTTTTATTGCTTAATATAATTGATATTTCAGCTATCCATTCTTTAAAAGATTTCAAATCATATCTGAATCATATTAGACAATGGAGAATACCTCAAACAAGGGCCCAGTTCACAAACTCTACGAAGAGAAATAAGCATGCCAAGTTTCCTCACCTGATATCCCCTTTCTGCAGAGCCACCTCCTCGAAAACAACCCGGATCCGCTCTTTATATCTGCAAACAATATAAATCAATTTAATAGTCCTTCGAGGCAACGTTATGAACTTCATAATATACCCGAGATGATGATAAATCTTTCACTTAGCAGTAATCCCAGATTAATAATTATTCTCCGCTGTACAAACTTTTATATGTAGTAGTTAACGTCGTGATAATTAAAAGTTGAATCCAGTTCAAAAAGGGATTTCTGCAGGGAATCCTAGAAATTGCTTAGTTTTCTGTTTGAGTAATAGTGATAGAAAATGCAAGTGGAATCTCTGAATGAAGGGAAGTGCCTCGAGATGTGTGCCTGATCTTTGAGCTTTCCTTCCCAAAAGAAAGGAAATTAAATATGAAATCAAATCGTAGAAACTATCTTCTATTGCTTTTTCATGGTAAAGTTCGTATAACGTAAGAGGAAGAAAGTTGAGTTATTTAAATTTACTTTCTTCACTGATTATCTTGTGAGTTCGTTTGTAATGGATGAACTCAAAAACTACCAAACTCAAGAAAGCTACATTATGAGAATGGAACATGGGTCGTATTCCATTCGAAAATCATCTGAAATCCCTACGAAAGTTGCGATAATGTAACTAGCCTAAGGTATGAAAAATTTGCATACAAAAATCATTATTTATCATATGTTACGAAAGTTATCATCAGCTTACTGTACACATATCTCAGAATAAAGTGTTACTTGAAAACAGTACTCTTCATGGATAGAATAGAATGAAATAGAATAGAATAGAATAGAATAGAATAGAATAGAATAGAATAGGATGGTATGGGATGGGATGGGATGGGATGGGATGGGATGGGATGGGATGGGATGGGATGGGATGGGTTGTTTGACAGATTTCACATTCGATTCTTTGTAATGATATACACTGCGATCTATCGTGATAATAAGGTTCAGAAACTTCAAAGGACAGTCCATGGATACCATGGAGAATATTATGCGAAATACAAACAATGTTTCTCAGTCTTATCAGTTAGACCTATCTCAATGTCACTTTTGGGTTCATATTTTCGAAAAAACTGAGTAATAATTTGAAAGTGGTATAGAATAATGTCAAATATGGGGAATAATCTTGAATTAATTCAAATTCATTCAAGCTAATACATGAATTGAAAGATGTTTCAACTCAACTTTAATATTCTAAAATAAAAACACTCAGTATGCACAATTCCATCTTTAAATATACCAAGTTCATAGACATCAAAATTGATACGACTACAGGATATGGAAATATAGAACATAGTCCAAATACGCAAAGTTGCACGGCGTATCAAGCATTACTTAGTACGGTACCGATGAGGGAGGTTTAGATCACCAAGAGAAAGTATTAGGAAATTCATTCCGTTTTCATTGATCCCTTTTCAGAAACGGTTCCAGAACATTTTTAGAATGCAGCACATCTCATCTTCTTCGATCCTGCTGGGTAGCAGTATAATCTAAATTTTTGCCGATTCTTTGTATTCTTTCTTATCTATTTGATGTTAGTTAATTCCTGAGCGTATTTTTCTCGTTTTCTTCATGATGAATATTTCATTAAGTTTTCAATTGAGTTTTTTCGGATGAAACAGCGATACATCTTCTCGTAATGAGCTAACCGAGTACTAAGTTGCAACGTTGACTCATAATTTTTTTGATATCACAATTTATTACTGAGATATAGATATACCTTTGATCCGATTCATTTGACGTCAGGATTGTATTAAGTAATAAAGAGCCTTGTGAATGCAATGAATAATACGATTCAATAGAGAGTGGAAAGACGGGAATTTGACTAACGAGAAAAACATTCTCAGTATTTCGACAGAATTTGGGTGAATGAGATTAAACTAATAATCATGCTGAAAGCAAGGAAAACCTCCTCTGGAGTAATGAATTTTACTCGGCATGAGTTTATAACATTGAAGTTCAGATGGTACAAATTAATGAATCATTTGTAAATATACTGAAAATGTCAGAGAGTAACGATTTTTATCAAATTTGATTTTGAAACATTTATAAATTTTAAGGGTTTCCAAATTTGTATTTCCATTCATGGTGAATGCGTGAATGTGTACATTTGAAAAACTTTGGTACTGAGTCATTTCAAAGTATGAAAGTAAACTAGTGTTTACGATAACTAAATTGATGAATTTTGATGAATCAGTTGTCAAACACAGTTCTCAACTGAACGAACTGTGTATGCAAACAAATAAAAATTCTTCCATGTTACCACCTCTAGATGAATTCATAAAACAGAACCGAATCAGTCGCAAAACTTCTAGAGTTTTCAAATGTTCTTTAATGTCACAGTTTTAATGAAAATGAGTTTTTTCATTTGTCCATATATTCGAAAATATTCCTGAGTTTTTAAATTACTTGCAGATATATGGGTTATAGTCTGGGTCACAAGATCCTTTGTTTGGAACTTCTGTCCAAGAGCACCGAAAATTATGATTCGGAATGACCTCACGCAACTTTTTCAAAAATTTTAAGAGGAGCTTGAAAAAATGGCAAAAGTTGTAACAAATTTCAACTCAAGTAAAAAGATTTCATGAAATATGCCTGTGAAAATTTGACAATGGAATGTTTATCACCTATTCACCTTTTCACAAAAAAAAATACCTCCAACATTTAACATTTATTATTTCATTTCAAAACCATTGAAAATACCCCCACTAGAACTGAAAAAACACCTCTTACTGTCGTGTGACGAATTTTACTCAGCATGATTTCATAATATCAACATTTTCGAAGTGAAAATTCAAAAATGATCCACAAATGTTCTGGGAATGAATATTCCTAAACTTTCGAGAAATAGGCTTTCCGGCCGTGTTCATTCTCAAACTTTTTATGTCAAATGTATATTATCATTCAGTTTATGTTGACAGATTGAATACAAAAAATCAATAACCGATATAAAATTTGTGAGTTTTTTTTTGTGAAACTTTGATATATAGCAAATTTCCAGAATAGAAAAATGGATTTGGAATAGTCATGTGAAAAGGCGTTACATTATCGAATGATCCATAGTTCATTCTTGAACAAACTTGAGGAGAAGGGTCAACTTCATTCAGCGCAAAATGTTATCGAAGTGATAATAATTATACTATAATATAATTATATTTTTTAATCGCTTGCTGGGATTAACTTGAGCTCAACAAAAAAAGCATTATGGATTGAACGCAGTATGCACCTTTATTTTATGGGGATGATGATATTTGGAAAAAAAGATATAGTCCATTTTCCTACGCCTTTCGAAAAATAATGGAAATAATTTCTATATATTTATTGTTGCGAATGGAGCAAGTACGGTCCTGTGTGGCTCCAATGAATGCTTACAAAATACACTTCATAGTATCGAATACATGGATGAATTGATATTTGTTTCTCTTCTTTGAAAAAACCTAGAAGGTTAATGTTGAGGGGGTGGTGTAAGTGTTAGTGATTGAAGTAATTTCATTATGTATGCTGAATACTTGTGTAATCATTGAGCATCAGAGAATATTCTTGAGTTCCCAAAACAAAAAAAGCAAAGCAAAATAGAAAGAAAAATGACAAGTACCAAATAAAGGAGAAAAGAGAACATTTGTGAATAACGAAAACAAAAATGAATACCTTTCATGCAATCGAATTTCGTTGATAATATTGCCAAGGAATTTGTTCCAAAAATACAATATTGACTTACATGATATGATAAGGACCAACAGAATTGGAAATCACTGGAGCTTATGGTTGCCACAAATTGTCAGATATTGAAGGCTTTTTTGAGCAAACGCAGACATTCCTTTGATATTTCTGATAATGGAGAAACCTTTGAGTCTTTTGCTAGCTGGAATTTTTACGGGTAATATTGAGAAAAACTTCAAAAGAATTAGTTTAGTAACAGTTTTTTCGACATTTTAGTAAGTGAATCAATAAATTTTTCAGACTTGACTTTTACTGACATTAATTATGAAAAAAATTCAAAAACCATCTTATACGGACATTGTCATACATAATTCCTCAAACATCCTCATCAACATGAATAAGCAGCAGTTTATACTACAAAGTAAGCAAGTAGTTTTCAGAAAGAACTGATTTTCATCAAATCTCTCAACAGCGGTTACAAGGTTACAATGTATTAACGACTCCATTTTTCCCAGATATCTACGAAATCAAGCCATTCACCAGGTCTATTCCACAACAGAAAACGATAGTAAACATCATGTGATATTGGCATTCTTTGGTGAACCCACCAAAAATGAAAGATTTAGAAGAGGCTCACAGAATAAATAAAATATCTAGCAATTTAAATAAAAATAATTGAAACGAAACTCTAGTATCGGATAGATCAGGAAAAAATCAGCTGACTCGTGATTCTTACGCAAAACTTCATACGGACCAAACGGGGAGAAACTTATCCTAGAGAATTAAGGAGCATAGTAGTGTAGACAATTTTTTTTTCGGTAATCAATTGATACGTGAACTCAGGTAATGTTCATTTATTATATGTACATTTGAATGCGATTTTAAAATTTGTTCTCTTATTTAAAGAATTTGTGATCAGCTGTTAACTCAACTCCCGTGAAACTATTAGTCAATGAGTAGGTTTTAGGTTATATGATCTAAATTGTTGATAATACGACTGAGAAAGCTATTGTATAGTTTTTTCGAAAAATACAAAACATAAGCACTACAGGAAAATCCTTAAGTCGCTTTTAGAGCGGTGCCTGTGCGAAAGTAGCGATTCACATTAAATCCATTTGTATAAACTTTCTCAGGAAGTTTATTCCACATAAACGCAGTTCTCCAGGTGAACAAGTTCTTAAACAGTGGAGTTCGAGGTGTACTGAGTTGAACCTGCAACAGTTTGTCGCGTATTTCTGATATGTACCTCTCTTGGTAGAATCAAATGTGCCAAGTCACTAGAACACTTCCCGTGAAAGCATCTAAAAAAGAGATACAAATCTCTAACTCCTTTCTTCGATGTTCGCGTTTCCAATCGGGCGGATGGCTCTTTTCAAGATGGAATCCAGCA